GCGGAGCGCTAATGGCTACAGACACGGCTAGTTAAACCGGGGACATTTACTGGAGACGTTTGCGCAGCTTAAAACAGAGCACCGCCCCCCCTTTGTTGTCGTTCCTTTTAATAGACTTACAACCACACTCGAGTAAAACGCTAAGAAAACCATAGGCGCGTGGTTTTATTCCGAGCAGCAAAAAAATAAATTTGCAGAGGAGTTATCATTACGCATTGCTCGCCTGACCGCAGGGGAAAAAAAACAGATGCATTTATTTTCGGCAGCGATACGGCACCACATTTATTTTGTAAATTAATGGAGCAAATGAATTGGAAGCCACTGCGCGGCGAGCAGGCGTAACGCAGCAAGGCTGTGCGTCATTTTGCTGACTTTAATTATGCATAGTGTTATGCTTAACGCCAGCGAGTGGGATTGTCTCAATGGTTTTGTGAACGTGTGTCCTTTTGAAAACTGTGTAATCGTGCGATTTTAAAACACAACAGCGTACACGTACTTTATTTGCATTCGTACTTAAACCGCAGAGGGATCTAGGCAACCCTACCATACATTTATTTTGACGTAGCATTTTGAAAAACATCGATTTTATCCATGTCCCAAGTACCACCACGATTGGTATTCATGCTCAATGTAGGTGTGCAAATTCAAGGCTTGATTCACTAGGTCACAGGGGTATGAGGAGAAGAAAGGAGAGAGAAGAAAGTGGGGGCAATGGAAAGGGATGGGGCCACCCAGGGAGGACGAGGGACAGTCTTGGCTCTGGGCCAGCTCAGCTCGAGTGGGAGGACGAGGTCCCGTTGCTATGGGCAGAGGGAGCTGGGCTGATAAGGTGCTGGCTCCTGGTTGGATTTCTCAGCCCCCCATGTTCCCCCTGCTGGCTCTCCTGGGCAGATCTGGTCCCAGCGAGTCCCGCATCAGGTTGGTTCTTAACTCAACTCCAGCCATAGGGCAAGAATCTGGGCCGACAACGGAGGCTGGCGTGATGTCACCAGGGTCCACGTGGACGCGATACGCGCACCATTACGCCACACGCTCTGTTTAACGTCCCAGCAGAAATCAAAACACGTGGAGGAAAATTATAAAAAGTAAATATTAAACTTGAAAGTAAAACCGAGCCCACGCCTACTTATAAAAGCAATATATTTATTTTTAACGATTGATTCCTGACCCTCATCAGCCCTGGCTGAAGAGATGGAGGGAAGATACTGGACAAGTGGGGTCGTGCTCGCGTAGCCCTGTGGCTCGTGGAGCATGGGGATGCAGACTGGGCCCTGGTGCCGCTGCTGGGCCAGCAGCGACCGGGCTTGCCTGTGGCTGTGGAGACGAGAAATTCGGTAGTGGATCTTCCAACATCAAAACGGACCGCTTTGGATCACGTGGCCAGGTTCCAAACCATTCCGTGTGTTCATCACTTGGCCATTGCACAGCGTGTCTGGTTCAATACCGCCGATGGGGCCAGTTTTACCTTTGCCAGGTAATTACCAAAGCACACCAAGCGCTCGGCTGAAATATGGACATTACAGATGGTATGCCGTTTGCAGGATTAAGCTATTACGCACCTCTGCCAACTGCAAAATACCTACAACTAAACTGCAAAAATATGGACGGCTGCAAATGCGTAAATACTGCCACCCTGGTCTCCCTTGCACAATAAATCATGAATGTCTATGAGCTCACAGGAGGCTTAAAGAAGGGGAATTTAATTGAATTGATGAAAACAGAATAAGTCACTGCCACTGCAATTTCTGCTGGCACAGGGCACAGAGGTGTCTTGTGTATGAGCTCTCAGCAGGGGCGATTGTTACTGTATGGGTGACTATGCTACTGGCGTCACGCCAGGGACACTGGGCTGCTGCCAGTTGTGGCATTATGACTGTACCAATGAGTGTGCAGCAATAACAATTTTGCCCTTACCCCAGACGCAAACTCCCAACCACAAAACTTGGTGGACAAATCTCACGGCCGTTTGCCATCATAATACAATTTGACGATCTTAAGAAGCGCGGCCGATGCGCTGTTCCGCTCTAGCGAGAGACGTGACAAAGATTGCGAGCACTCGGGTGGCAAAACTCTCTTGTGATCGATTACGAACGCAGTGGTTTGACGGTGCGACATTCGCAACACGCAGTCCCGCGGTTCAGCACGAAGCAGCGCCGGCGCAATCAAACCGCGTCACTCTCTCTCTCTCAAGGGCATGGCCCAAGTGGCGTCCCCTGGGAGGGGAAGCGGACAAATGTTGACAAAGAATTTGTCCAAGTCTTCCTCCGATCGCGCCCCACGACGTAACACGGTCAAAGCGGTCGCTCTGCAGGTGCAAGCCTCGTGTGGAGCCCAAAGCAAGTCCCGAGCATCTGTTTTGATAATAAACTGCAACGCCAGCCTGATAACTGCGTCAGAAGCACATACCCGGCCAGACCACATAAAATACAATAAAGTTTAACCTTTAACTATATTAAGGCAGTTAAAGGGTTGCGTGTGAGATAGACGGATGTACCTTTGGGCCAGGTGCATGAATGTTATGATTTAGGATCTGTGCTAGGCTATGGTGCGTGCTGGTGGATAAAGGTGGGGGTGTTATGATTGAGAGTTATGTGATGGTGGGTATTATAAGGATTATGACGAGGCTTCGTGGTGCTGGTGGCTAAGAATAGGGGTTGGGGCTAAGATGACTGTGTTCAAGGAACATGCCAGGGGCATTAGGAGTGTCACGTTGAGATTACTTAAGACGTGAGAGCGGGGATGTTAAGTTGTTAGGATTAGAGTGGTTCGGTTCGTCTCGTTTAAAACGCAAGACTCAAGCAACACCACAGCCGCTCGCTCTCTTTTCTCACGCTAATTAAACTCCGTCTCAACACACGCACTGCAGCGCGCCATCAAATCACGGCCTCACTTCACGCACAACCTGCCCGCGAAGGGCGCGTGAGGAATTGCATAAGCGCCCACCATCGCAACCACCACCAACCACCACATACGGTGCGGTCATTAATAACCACGCAGGCCGGCCAGGCTGGCTCCAAGCAACCCACATCGCATCGTTGACGTGCGGGTCCTGTGTAAATCCGCTGCTGGATGAAGGCATCATCTGCATGCCGTGTCAGTCGTGGTGGTGGTTTATTTGACAATACCATCATCACGATGAGCAACGCGGCTCGGTGTAAAGGGAACCCAGCACCGTTTTCGAGACATCACCACCACTCGTCACCGAGGTTTAGCCGTGGCCGGGAACATTTAACTCGAGGCCCCTTTAGTTCATAGCGCAGTTCGCTAATCACTGCGCCACCGCTCCCCTCCGCAAACACACTGCATCCTCAAATTAAATCCAAATTCCCAAAACCCCGGGACTCGTAAATGAGACGCGTTACTAGACGCGGCAAGCTGCTAGCAATGCGCTCGTGGTGACTAGAATCAACCACGGGTCTCGCCACTGCTGGCTTGGAGCCACCCCCAGCGCTGCCTCCCACGAGCCGGCTCAGTCGCGAGCACGAACCCCTCTCGGAATCGCCCCCAGAACCCCCCAAACGAGCGACGACTCTGTTACTCAAAGAAGCGCACTACAACAGGGAGCTTGGGTGGCACTGAGCAGGTTACGACGAGCAAAAGCCCGACAGCCATCAGCTGTGCACCTCGACAGAGAAGAGGGCACGCCACGGGGCACGCTGCAGCAGTACTCGGCATCGGCTGAGAGTGCTGCTGCTGCTGCTGCGTTACTGAAACTACGACACACGACGGGGAGCGAGCATGGACCCCCTCTGCTCGTCCCTCTGCTCGCCCCTCTGCTCGCCCCTCTGCTCGCCCCTCTGCTCGCCCCTCTGCTCGCCCCTCTGCTCGCCCCTCTGCTCGTCCCTCTGCTCGTCCCTCTGCTCGTCCCTCTGCTCGTCCCTCTGCTCGTCCCTCTGCTCGTCCCTCTGCTCGTCCCTCTGCTCGTCCCTCTGCTCGTCCCTCTGCTCGTCCCTCTGCTCGTCCCTCTGCTCGTCCCTCTGCTCGTCCCTCTGCTCGTCCCTCTGCTCGCCCCTCTGCTCGTCCCTCTGCTCACCCCGGCGCGGCTCGGAGAGATGGCGTCAACACTTGGCGAGTGATGTAAAATGTTATTTTAAAAAACCTGTTAATTAAAAATAAACTTACATAACTCGAGTGGTCGCAGTGAAATCTGCACTCGCAGCAGCAGCAGCGGCGGCGGCGGCGATTGAATGAGAAATCAAAAAGAAGCCAAGAAACCCACTGCGCGGTCTCAGCAACCCCGCAGCGCCACGGCGAACTCGCTCGAGGCGCGTTCTGGAGACGTGGGGACGGTCCCCGGCGCCAGATTCAAAGCTCCCCGCCGCTCTCGTTCAACTTGCAACGATTCATTGCAAATCGCAAATCGGCGCCGCGAACGAATGAAAAAGGAATGCGGCGCCAAGAACATTGCCGGCAACTCCGCGGTGTTCAGCAGAGAGGACCGCAACACCAGCAGCACCCCCCCCCCGTGTCTCACTGCCTCTACTTTAGCGGCTTGCACCAGACGCGTTAACTTCACACGCGGGGGGGGGGGGGGTCGACACGATCACAACCTTGCGTTGCTCTTTGCTCGTGCACGCGGTGCGCTGCGTTGGTGAACGCGTTCCGCATTAAAGGAGCTCCGCTTTAAAGGCGCCTCGGGCCCCTCTTAAAGGGACACGGGGTGGGTGGGGGGGAGGGGCGGTTTAAAGGGCCACGCAACGTGCCTCAGATTTGGTAGCGCGCATCGGCTGCGGGGCGGGCTGGAGCTCGCGCCGCGATTGGCCGAGGGGTGCGTCACGTGATCGCGAGAGGGGCGCGCGCACTCGCCGCGGGCAACTCCGATGCGCGCTAGGGAATCTAAACTCGCGAGAGGCGATCGGCGCGCGGCTCCCCTCCACTCGCAGCGATGCGGCCACCAACTCGCGAGATCACAACAACAACCACAACCACAACAACAACCCAGCAGCAGCAGCAGGAGCAGCTGGGGGCTCACTCGCAACCCGTCTCGCTCGCTCGCTCACCTGAGAGAGACGCCGCACGTGAAGAACCCGCAGCAGCCCCAATACCGCTTCACCTCCACGTCTCGGCCACGGACGGGCACATCCCTCACGTGGGCAGCGGCATTGCTGTTGTTGTTGTTGTTCGTGTCGTGTTTTGACCGACGTGGTTGCTGCTGTTGTTTGTGAGGGGGGGGGGGGGGGACGCGCAGCCGGTGACTGCCGCTGCTGCTGCCGCGCTCCTCGCTCCGCTCTGCGTCCGCGCCGCCACTCAGCACGCGCGCGCGCGCGGCCCCCACCCCGCCACGCGTCACGTGATCTTCACACCCCCCACCCGCAAACCCCCCCCCCTCACACCCCCCCCCCACTCACAAATCCCCCACGCCCCCACTCCCCACTCACACCCCCCCCACTCACACCCCCCCACTCACAACCCCCCCACTCACAACCCCTCCCCCTCACAACCCCCCCCACTCACTCCCCCCCCCCACTCACTCCCCCCCCCCCACTCACAACCCCCCCACTCACAACCCCCCCCCCTCACAACCCCCCCCACTCACTCCCCCCCCCACTCACAAATCCCCCACTCCCCCCCCCCACTCACACCCCCCCCCACTCACCCCTCCGGGAGGCGGGGCTACGGGCGAAGTGGGCGGGGCGTGGACGAGGGGGTGAGGGGGGCGGGGTGAGGGGGGCGGGGTGGGGCGAGTTGGACGTTGTCACGACGCAGTGCCCCCCCCCCCCTCCCCCCTCCCCCATCCGCACACGCGCAAGGAGCCGCGGGACGGCGCTCTGCTCGACTTCCCCAGGCGCGGCTGTGTCTGCCTGGCTTGGCCACCTCAACTTGTCCTTGTTGCCCTGCATCTAACATCCCCCATACGGGAGAAGAAGAAACAGTTGGGGGGGGGGGGGTGCAATGGAAGGAAGCCGATATGAGATGTGCCCCCCAATAGCATGGGGAGGGGGTTATATAAGGTGGGAGAGGCGAGAAAGCGGAGGGGGCTGGAGGGGCAATAGCAGCGGGGCGAAGGGGGGTGAGGGCGGAGCGGGGTCCGTGGGGGGGGGGGGGGCCTAAGGGGGGTGGGGTTACGTGAGGGGCGGGGTGAGCGCCCGGCGGGTGCAGAGAGCCACGTGGGGCCCAATTCACTTCGATCCGTAGACATTTAATAAAGTATTTTTGTGGCATGAGCGGTGGCGCAGTGGTTTTTAACTGGCTCTGCACGAAGATTCCTGAGCACAGCTAACGTCAGTGGTGGTGATCACCGGGTCTTCGCCACGCCTCCATCGACCTTGGACGTGTGAAAGAGCTTCATAGCACATCGGATTTCTTCAGGATAAATACATATTTTGATTTTGACCCGTACGTACGGTAAAACCCCCAGATGTGGATTGACAAGGAGCTGGAAATAAGTGAATATAAGAGAAAGGTAAAATTACAGTATATACAATACGGAGATGTGTATTTTTGACAAGGCCCATACATTTTTTTAAACGGGCCTATAACAATAAACGTTACTCTTTTACATGCTTTCCTAATGCGACCGATTATTCGAAATCTGCGTGTCTACGTGTACTCGCACCTTACCCCACCGCATGCGACCTTCCAATTAACTGCGGTGTACCTATTTCAGTTTCGGGAAATGGCCTTTCACAACATTGATGCGTTTACATGTGCTGATGCAGAATCTTTATCCTGGAGGTATCCAATGAGCTACGGAGCTATTTTTCAGAGATGCCCGGGAGATGCATACTTTACAACGCAGTGTCAACCAAAGAAAAACCCCGTTTAATCAATCAGTGGTGACCGAACCCAGTCGGTCACGAGCTGCCGGCTCGGGGTCGCCTCACCACGTGGGGAGCACGTGCTCGACGTGCGGCATCGGCACGAGATCCCTCCCCGTGACGCAGCTAACGTCCCACCCGCATTACGTCATAGCTCCACATGTGCTTCCCTGACGTCACCAACCCCGCCGTGCACGATGACGTCACGACAACACAAGTCCCGCGTTGCAATGGAACGCGCCCCTGTAGTGGCAGCAGATATCGGTGAAGCTCAAGGTGCAAGTGCATGGTCACGCTTCTTCCGGCGGAAACGCCTCCACTAAGCGAGCTGGAGAGTGTATTTGGTCTACTCTTCCCACGCGTTGGAAGAGGTGGGCGTACCCACTCTTGGTCAAGAAGAATTTCAGAATCATAATATTTATTTTGGAGGAATCCGATGAGCTATAAAGCTCTTTTTAATAGATGTCGAGTAGAGGGCGGGTCAGAACATTACAACAACAAACAATACAAAACAATAGACAATAAGTGTGGAAAATATACGCAAGGTAAGCAAATCACCAATAAAATATACAAATATAATACATTTATTGTATTTTATAAAATTAATACATTTTAAACCCCACTGAGCTATTTTCAGACAGTACAATAACATGTATTCGGAGTTACCTCTCAGAACGTTGCCAAAAGGGACATAGTATGAACGTTGAACTTTTTTCACACCATATGCCAGCCATCCACAAATATTAAAATAACAAAGGGTGTTCCACAAGGTTCCGTGTTGGGTCCAGTTCTGTTCTTAGATTTAAACAATCTTGGACTAAACTTAAATCACTCAGAATGAAATCTCTTTTCTGACGACACTGTCCTGCTAGTATTGGGTAAATCTCCAAACTGAAGTCAAACAATCTCCAACACGATTTCGGCTTAATTCAATATCAATTGTAATCAATAGAATTGCTCTCAAATTCCAAAAACCCAAGATCATGCTATTGTGTTCAAACACAAATCCATTCACCGATTAAGGATATCAGGAACAACATCATTGAACAAACGTAGTCCAGTACTTCAAACACTTTGGTTTACTGATTGATTCAAAACTTACATTCCAACCCCATATGGATCACACCTCAAATAAAAATCACATTAAAATAGGGGTTTTATCTCGGAAAACACATTGTTTTCCCATTCGATTGCGCCTGCGCATTGTTAATTCTATCACTTTTTAACTAATGTCGCTAACTTACAGATCGGCTACTCATACAGGTAGGAACAACATGTTCCACACTGCCCACTAGGGATTATTTGTCTGTCGTGCATATTTGTCTGTCGTGCACGAATGCGCTGTCCAACCAGGTTCCTACCTGCCCACTCCGAAGGAACGTGCTAGCTTTACTACCCGGCTTCGCCTCCGTGGCGATGTTCACACACCACACCAGTTACTCGTTTGAGGCTGAGTCGACCTAGGGGAGGCCCAGGAGCGGTTCAAACAATCGTCACCGGTGGTGGCCGTGAACGGGAATCGAACTCGGGTCGCCGGGTTCATAGCGAGAATAAGAATACATCTACATTGGGCTCTGTTCATAAAATCCTTATTGGCAAATCTGTGCTATACTGTACTCGGCTACTAATTCATTAACTTTATTGTCAAACCCAAGAACAAGAATTGGAATAGGTGACAAAGCCTTTGCCGCTGCAGCACCAACTTTTGGAACAGCCTTGTTTCCTCCCTTAACATAAATCTTCCTTAAGAAATATTCTGAAGCAGAATATTAGTGCTGCATACAAGCACATGTGTGATTTGTGACTTTGAACCTTACCCATGCATCGATAGTTAAAATTTAATGTGCAATTTTATTTAGGGTATGTGTGTTGTTTTTTGTGTTGCTGCCTTTCACAAGATTGCATTTGGTGTTGAAATTTCGGCAAGAATTGATGTATGTACACTGATGCAATTGCACTTGTATACTTTTTTTTACTGAGTAACTTGCTTAGCTTTCCGATACACGTTGTACTCCTTTCTATTTTAAAAAAATTATGTTGTAACTTTCTGACCCGCCCCTACTGGATATCTCTAAAAAAGAGCTTCTTCGCTTTTCGGATTCTTCAAGTCTAAATAAAGATTCCGAATCTGATTCTTTACCACACGACATGCGGCCGACCATTCGATCTGACTGTGGTGATCCCATTGATACTGCTGAGCGGACAGAGGCAGATTTAAGAAACTTTCACCACGAGTTCAACTGCCGCGCCGGGAGATGGAATTGACCCGATGACCTCTGGATGCCAGGTTCTTCTGCGGTCATTTATGTCTGAAATTATGTGCTGCGTCGCGTTACAAATTACATTATTACAGCTCCCACTAATGACAGTACCAAATGGCAATGGCATTACATGTGTAATAAAAAGGACTCAGACACTTCTTGCTGACTCCGTGTCCTTTATTTGGGGTTCGCGTTCTCCTTCCCACACGGCACTCCTCCTGAGACTCTCTCCCTGGCAGCCCCACATCTGCCTTCGCTCCCGTAGCCTTCCACGCTCCTGCAGCTCCGCTGCAGGCTCTTGGTACAGCCCTCTGGCTGCTTCCCCAGCAGCTCCATCGCTGCTCCCTGTTCCTCCGTGCGTGGCGATCTCGCCACCTCCCAATGTCAGCCCTTCGTGGCCTCTATGGCTATCTCGCCATTTCCTACCTCATTCCTCCACTCTCTCTTCCACCCCGCTGGCTGGCGCCGTCATGAGCCCCTCAGCCACCAGGCTGAGGCACGGCGACCACCCAACGTGTTCACCACCCTTCACTCCCCCGACTCCCCCAGATAGCTTCCTGTCTCCCCGCTATAACTTCTCCCCCACGTCACCCTGACTCCTCCCTCTCGGATCGTCATATCCGCCCCGCCCATTTACGCCCGCATTACACTACCCTCCCCCGTAGAGAAAATCCCAGCCGTCCTCGGCTGAAACAGAACAAAATAATGCGGGCGAAGGCATCACAATCAGGAGTCCCCCAGACACAACGGAGATTATAACAACAACAACACAAGCAACGAAAGGGGAGGTATCAGGAACTGGAACAGAACACCGGCCTGTCCTCCGCGCAACATCAACAAGAATAAGAATGGCACAATGAACAAAAATGGCAACTGACACGCAAGAACGGCCAACGCGCACAACCCAGAAATGTGATGTTTTAGTGCGTGTCCATGTTGCAGTTCCATCCGCTCGGCTCAAGTCCAACGTCAAAGAGCAAGTGGTAGAGCAGAACGACGAACGGCGCTCAATTGCTCCTTCAAGTCCTCATCCAGCTAGCACACCAGGTAACACCCAGTGCGACGGGAGCTGAAGAATCTGTGACGAGAAGGAGAATCCAATCCCCTGAGGCACAGCACAACAACGCACATCCGCATGTCGTACACGACAG